ATCCACGTGGGCAAAAGTTAACTCCGTTTAAATAATTTGAACGGATGTCCTAAATTGAAACCAATTAATTTTTAAGGGACCAAATTGAAACCAATTAATTAATTTGGGACCAAATTGAAACCAAAAATTAAAATGGGACTAAATTGAAACAAACAATTAATATAAGGGACCAAATTAGTGTTTTAGCCTTAATTATTTTATCAAGTAAATAAATATTATTTGGTGGATGTTGCCAAATGTGTATGATATCACTCCTTTGACTTTTAGGTTTGTAATAATGAAGTCTCAATTTTTATCCTCAAGTTTAAGGTATACAATAAATAAATAAATAATGTTTTATGGAAGAGCAAATTTGCAAGTCTAAATACAAACTGAATCACGAGTTTAAATTGTTTGTGCAATAATGGATATATATAATTTTATAAAAAAGAATTTTGAAATGGATATCAAAACGTTATTTATGGAGATGACAACACACACAAATGATGATAATTGTCGTAATAAGACGAGTTGGTACCAGTTCTAATTTTTAAAAGCAATTTCTTCAACAAAAATGAGTAGAATTTGATACTTAATCTAATATCAATTTATAAAGTAAATAACTAATAGTATATTTATATGTCAAAGTTGTATTATAGTTTTAAATTATGTTTATTATTTGTATTTCTTAATATATCTATAAAGATTAAATGTTTAAATTAGTCTTTGAAATGCATATCACACTAAATTTAGTCTTTAATTTGAATGAGACTAAAAAAAAATTCAAAATATATTTTAATATGCCACTTATTTGAGTCATATGTCACGTGTTATGCATATGTCATGAGATACATCCACATGACACATGTCACTTAACATATATATCACGTGTATGTTACATGATATTATCGTTGATGAGATTTCCCTTGGAAATCTCAAGAACACTTCAAGCCTTCACAAAATTCCTTGGAAGAACTTCAAGGATGGAGGCTCCAAAAGGCTTCAATGTGACCTAGGCTTGCATAAAGCTAAGTCCGGAGAAGAATTAAGGGCCCTAGCTCTACAAGGAGAAGCTCTCAAGAAGGGTAGAGTCTAGTAGCAAGGTGACTTCGAAGAGGGTGAGTTCTAAGAGAGAAAAACTCATCAAATATATCCAAAGTCAATTACACGGATGGGTCATAAGGATTTATAGGTGAAAATTAGGTCAAGGTAACCATGGGTTAGCCTTAGGTTAAGTGGAACCATGGTATGGTTCACTTAACCTTAGGCGCCCAAAATTTGAATTCAAAATTCAAATTTTGGAGCTTAAGCCGGATCACCCATGTGCAAGGCATTTAAAATGTCATTAGGCTTCCATTTGGGTTGCATTTCGGATCACACCATGTGCATGTGTTACACATGGCCGAAATGTACTCCAAATGTGAATTTAATTACATTCTAATGCAACTACACATGCAACCTAAATAACCCTAAATTCAAATGACCTCCAAATGAAATCCTAAGCTAAATGGCCAGAAATACAAGGCCCAAAAGAAATACAAGGCTCTACGGCTCAATCCTACGCTAACCCTAATCTACTTAGGCTTGAGTCAAAGCCCAACTAAACAAAGAGATGGGCTTTCCTTGGGCTTGGGCCCACTCCGCATGTATCCTCCTTGCCATAGCCCTAATAGTTGGGCTCTTGGCCCATGGGCTTCCTCCATCAATCGTGCCTAGGAATAGCAATTAAATGAATTGGATATTTTTTAGATTGATCATAATAAATTAGATAAAATAATTCATTTGTTACCCTTTTGTGTCACATAGACACTTTCATTTTAGATAACATAGATTATTTTAAAAATGACTCAAATGAGTGACATATAACATTTTCAGAGACTTTTTTTTTAGTTTCATTAAAACCAAAGAGTAAATAAAGAATAGAACATAATTTCATAGACTAATTTAATTATTTACTTACCTATAAAATATACATTTAATTTAGGAAAATTATACTTCTCTTTTTCGATTATGAACTATTGATTTAAATGTGATTGGTAATTTGGATCAAGAAAATATTTGTTTGTTTATTAAATTTAACTTAAAAATATTCGGAGTAAAGAGTTTTTGTGAAGAAAAAAAAAAGTGGCAACAATATCTTATATTAATTGATTGATTAAAAAAATTCTTTGGAAAACCCTTGAGTAAATATATGTTTGAGGATAAGCAAGATATTAATTAAAAAAAATCTCATTTTATCCATATAACAATTAAATAATTTAATTAAAAAATTTAATATTACAATTTTTTTTAATAAACAAGACTAAAAGTCCAAAACATAAAACCACAAAAAAGGAAAAACACACCGTTAAATGATCAACAATTAAGGAGATAAAGACCCCACAGTAGATGGACAAAAACATATTCATCATTACAACCAACTTTCCATCATTTATTTATATTTGTATAAAAACGTCTTTTAAATAATGAATATAGGAAGAAAAAAAAGTATTTTCACCTATCATATTTAAACAAAAAACTTATTTTTATAATTGATATAAGGTTTAATTGCAATTTTTTATCTTTCTAATATTATAATTATGTAATTTTGATTTATTTGTCATCCTTTTGTGTCACATAAACACCTACGTATAAGAAAACAAAAAATTATTTTACAATAACTCAAATAAATGACATATTATACTTTTAGAGGCTTTTTTTTAGTTTCATTAAAACTAAACAGTAAATAAAAAATAAGATATAATTTTAAAGACTAATTGAACCATTTATTAATCTATAAAATATGCATTTAATTTAGGCAGATTACACTCCTATTTTTCCTTTATGAACTATTGATTATAATGAGTTATTTTTTTATGGGCAAACTTGTGCCCATTACTCCTCTCCATTTACATAACATTTTTTTTCTTTATTTATTTTTTCATTCTTTATCGAGATAAAGTATAAAAAGCAAACCCATTGTTTCAAGTTTATTTTTGGCCGCAATTAATACTACAAAATCAGGATGATTTGAAACACCTGCTCCCAAAACAAAAATAAGTCTACTTTTGCCATACAAGATTGGCTGCAATCTGGTCTACTTTTGGCTGCAAGTAACTATACAAAACCAAATTTATAATGAACACACTCAAGAACACATCTCATAAATGATTTTCTGAAATTTTAGTAGGTAAAAACTTTATATTTGCAAAAGAATAAACTAGTTATCAACAGCTAAATCCGTTTATTATATTTTCAAACAGGTTAAAGAGACCAGCTTTAAATTACAGCTAATGCAGTTACAAATGATTCAGGAAAAAATTATCAGTTTAATTTTTTTCAAAAATAAATACGAAATCAAAACACAGCAGGTTAGATAATTTTGGAAGTATCATGAATTGACATAATACTGAATACAAACATTTCATATACCATTGCAGCAAATGTAAGCACGCAACTATATAATCAGTATTACCCTTTCCATACACAAAAGGATCAACCCGATCCAAAGTCTTCAATTACAAATCATAAAGGGATAAAAATAAAAATAAAAACTACTAATTTAAATCTAAGCATAGGACCCTAGATCTAACCGATACACAAAATAAACTTTAGGGTTGATGAAGACAATAAAACGTCAGTTCAAGAGCTAGTGAACTTTGTGACGGCCTTGGTACCTTCGGAGACGGCGTGTTTGGCCAATTCTCCGGGCAGCACAAGCCTGACCGCGGTCTGGATCTCCCTTGAAGTGATGGTTGGCTTCTTGTTGTAGCGGGCAAGTCTAGAAGATTCCTGAGCAAGCTTCTCGAAGATGTCGTTGATGAAGCTGTTCATGATTCCCATGGCCTTGCTTGAGATACCAATGTCTGGGTGAACCTGCTTCAGAACCTTGAAGATGTAGATTTTGTATGTCTCCACACTCTTCTTGCTTCTCTTCTTCTTCTTGTCTCCGCCAGCTCCTCCCTCCTTCGGCAGCTTCTTCCCTGCCTTTGGCTTCTTCTCCGCCGCTGGAGCCTTCTCTGCCACCGTCGACTTCTTCTCCTCCGAGGGCTTCTTCTCCGCTGGCTTCTTCTCTGGCTTTGGTGCCATCGCTAACACTCAATTCGAATTAGGGTTTTGATTTGGGAATTTGGAATTAGCGTAGAGCGGTTGAAGATGTGAGC